GCCGCGAGCCGAGCAGCGAGTACAAGGAGAATCTGCACAAGGTAGGGGCTGGGGTTTTTTTTTTCCGTGTGTCACCGAACAGCGCCGAGAGGTGACAGAGCTTCCCCGGGTCACCTGTCTGGGGGTGTTTCAGTTGAATCTGTCGGTACTGTGACAGAAAAGCTCTGGTGTTGGTGGGGTTTTCGTGGCTGTGCAGGACTGGAGCCTGGAAGTACGTTCCCGGTGCTGCCCGAGCCCCCCGGCTGCTGTTTCTCTTTCAGGTCAGCAAACACCTGAGGGGTGAAGTCGGTCTCCTCTTCACGAACCGCAGCAAAGACGAGGTGGACGAGTAAGTACGCGTGTGTCCCAGCCACGCTTTCGAAGCGCTGAGCAGCCTTTTTTCCCCCCTTAAAGCAGTGATATCTCACGAGGCTTTGCCACTTGTCTCTTCCTGCTACAGCGGGGAAGACGTTACGGCAGGCTGTGCCCTTGTACCCCTCTTACCCGAGGGATGGTGTTTCCACAGCAAAAGCTCTCGTTACCCGTCTCTGTCTCAGGTGGTTCTCCAAATTCAAAGAGGTGGACTTTGCCCGCGCAGGGAACAAGGCGACGTACGCGGTGAGCCTGGACACGGGGCCCTTGGAGCAGTTCCCGCACTCCATGGAGCCCCAGCTGCGGCAGCTGGGATTGCCGACGGCGCTCAAGAAAGGTATGTAAGGCGGCTGAGGAGGTGAGCTTTGCTTTTTGTCTCTGCAAACATCCATTAAGAAGAATGTTAAATAATCAAGTAGAATTTAGTTTTGGGGAAAATCTGATGGACAGTTTCCTCCTCGTTCGGCTGGCGCTAGACCTCAATATATCCTCGTGCTGTTCTTCCCAAAGTCGGAGAACGAGGGAAGCAACCGGCTTTCTACAAGATACTGTCCTCTTTCAGCGGAGACGGCTGGACTTAGCCTAACCCAGTGCATCCCGTTCAGAAACCAGACAAGGGTTTATCTTTAGGGGTGATCTCACCCAGCTTCTTTGCGTGTGCTAATATGTGCACGGAAAGGCATAATCTGAAAAGAGCAGCATTTGAGAGACCTTAGCTCTGCACCCCGCGTTTCAGTGGCCTTCTCTTTGTGAGCCTCTTTCCAGAGCTTCTCTTCCTGCAGGAGTGGTGACGTTGCTTTCAGATTATGAAGTCTGCAAAGAAGGGGACGTCCTGACCCCCGAACAAGCCCGCGTCCTGGTGAGTGATGTTGTAACGCAGGGTCCGCGCAAGTCCCCCGTTCCCCTGACGCACAGAATTAATGGTTCAGTTTAGTTCCGCTGAAGGGTGCGAGCTCATGGATGAAGGTGAGCTGATACTGGTATCGCTCAGGGGGGTGCAGCAAACACCCTTATGTGTTCCTAACGTGGGTGCTAAAATCCTGCCGCTGTTATTTTGGCTCCTGCTTCGCTGCAGTTCCTGGCGGGAAGCGTTATTAGCAGCAGTGTTTGCCGTAGGCTGGCCAGGAAGGCAGTGCCGCAGCAATGACAGCTTTGTGTCCTCTCCTAGAAACTCTTTGGCTACGAGATGGCAGAGTTTAAAGTCACCATCAAATTTCTGTGGAATTCGGAGACGGGAGACTTCCAGAAGCTTGCAGGAGACTCAGCAGAGGAGGAGGAGGAAGAAGAGGATGATGATGATGAGAGCAATGAGGACTAGCAGCAGCCCTTGTGCTTGGACACTAGACAGTTCTACTCTATTTTAGAGACAAAAAGAGGATGTTTCCCTTCCCTGTTTGCACCCAGAGGACAAGAATGATCAGCTCTAATATGTTATTCATAAAAGACCTATTTTTTTTTTTAATATAAAACTATATATAAACCTTCAGCTGGTTGTCACTGCTGCCTGTTACTGTTTGACTGCCCCTGACACCAGGGAAGGTGCAGAGGGTTTGTTCTTATCTTAAATAAAAGCTTCAGAAGAAGCCGTTCAGCTGGAAGTCACCGGGCACCGCTAAGGAGATGTCAGCCAGGTTACAGCACAGTTAAGACAGGGACTGTGTTAGAAAAGGGTTTATTCTTGTCTGTAATTATTTAAGATATCCCGTTACAGCAGAACTGGGGCATGCACCCCGTCATGTGCCCATTTTCCCCAATCAGCAGCATTGTTAAATCACAGTGCGCATGGTGTGGAGCTGAAGGTCCACGAGGGGAGAAAGAATAAGGCATGGCCCAACACGACGAGTGCTGGCAGTGGTAGTGTCATTAGTACAGGGAAAAAAATCACCCTCCCTTGGCACCTTGATCAAAGGGGCAGGGGGGTAGGTACCTCTCCTGTGCTTCAAGAGATGTGTGCTTGATTATCCACCCCTACGGCACCCGCGTTCTCATCCCTACCCTGGTCTCTAGCGGAAATAGTTGGGGCAGTCATGCGCAGTCAGGTTCCAGGCTTTATCAAACGCCTCCACGACAGGCGGGAGCAGGGGACCTTCCTCGCTGTAGTTAAGGTTCTGCTCTAGCTGCTCCAAGTTGGACATCCCAATGATCACTGCGTCTCCGAGAGAACCCTGTAAAGCAATAGGATTTGCTGATCCCAAAAGAAACCTAGTTCAGCTCCTAAGCTGTTGCGGGACAAACTTTAAACGTTTCTTTCCAGTAAAGAATATCCAGTAACTCCTGGATGTTTAGACAACTGACACCATGAAGTTCTGTTCACAAGGCCAGAACATCTCCAAGTCACGCCAACTCCTCAAAAACTGCCAAATCCTACTCTACGAGGTGCCACAGGAACATTTTTGGGAGATGGGGTATAGAAATACTAATTTCCTAGTCTGATGAAAAGCGAAGTTGTCTCCTTGCAGGGCAGCTGTCATGGGGGGAAGCCAAAACCCCAGTAACTGGCACTTAAAATCTTCATTTCTGGCAACCCTATGAACACAGGATATCGTGGGGCAATGCAGAGCTGACTCCTTCCCACAGCCTGGGGGACAGAGTCTGTACAGCAATATTCACCTTTGAACAGCATGAGCCCGCAGGATATGGAGATTAAAAAATCTGTTTGTACTCAGACATTTCCCCGCTTGTGTGCATCAGCCACATCGAGCTCTCACCTGCAGTTTGGAGTGACTGTACAACCAGCGCAAAGCAGCAGAGGTCAGGCTCGGTGCGCTGGAGCCGTAAGCATCTTTCAGAGCTCTTTCTACTAAAGCAATTCCCTCAAAATTGTGCTTTTTCCAGTACCTACAAGAAAAGAAAGCACTCTTACTGCCCTTGAGACATCCAGTGAATCATACATCTATATTCCAAGCAAGTGCAAAAAGCTTTCAGGAAGCCTCACGCAACTCTTCGTAGCCTCCAAGGACTTCTGCAATCCCCCACTTGAGGCTGGGAGGAAGCTGAGCCTAAAAACCTTTCTGCAAAGCTCAGTCACAAGCTGCAGCACCAGTCACGTGGGGAGATATGACCACTGCACAAGCTGTGCAATCTCAGCTGATTATTAGAGTGGGATTTTTATGTAGCCACTCCTGCCTCTTCCTGCTCAAAACATACCTGTCCCTGTAGGTTTGAGCCCAGTCATTCCCAAAAAATCTTCCAGTGGGCTGGTGTGTGTCTTTGTCCTCATACTTGTACTTGCCGGTCAGCAGCCCTCCTGCAAAGGGTCAGCAGTGTGTTTAGGGACGGGCTGGCTCTTCTGCAGCCCCCATTTTGCATGTTTTTGTCTCAAAAGTCTTGTCCTTTCCCTCCCTGTACCTGCCAGCGGATTGTAGGCGTAGAATCGCAGTCCGTAGTGTCTCAGGCAAGGGAACAGCTCGGTTTCCACCTGGCGAGTGGTTGCGTTGTACATACCCTGCACGAAGACGAGGGAGACAAAGAACGTCAAATGCCATGACAGTGGTCACGAGCACCCAGAACAGCCTTTCCCCCAGCCTCCCCTGACAATACTCTTATCTGGAAGGGCAGCAGCAGGTCACACAAGGTTATTATTTGCTTAGGAACAGACTTTCTAAAGGATTGCAAACAACACAAAAACTTCCACATCGAGGGAGTCACTGACTCAAGCAACAAACGCGTACTCAGCTTTTTCTGAGAAGTGACCTCACTCAACTTTCTAATCACATGTGTCCTGAAAGGATTTCCCAGACTAACCGGAGCAGCTTCCTTCCCTGTGTTTATATCTGGCACACTGGGGACTGGTCCAAGATTTGAGGCTCCCAGACCCTTCCGCACAGTGACTGACACCAAGAATCAGTATGCTGTTCTGATCTGAACCCTCGTATTCTTTTGGTTTGATTCATCTCAGCCTCCACAAATGTTTTGCTGGACCACAGCAAGCGCCCATCCCTCACCTGGTACACAGTTGGCATCACCCAGTTGTTGTATTTGCAGATGGTGCAGATTTCTGCGACCTCCCATGCTGCGTAGTTTGACAGACCAAGTTCTTTAAACTTCCCCTGCAGAAGAATAAAAGTTCAATTCCAGATTTTAAAAGTGCAAAATGCATAGGGTGAAAAGGACAGTCACCAAATTTTAGTCATGTTCTCTGCTCTGTCCAACTTTTCTAGACAGACTACAAACTACAAGACCTAATAAAAATATTTCCCATTTGCTGTCCATTTTGAATTCACACCTTCTAATTTCTATTAGATTAATACAGTTCAGGAATTCTTCTTCACCCCTTACCAGCACTAATCTTAACCTAGTCAGTTAATGTATCTAAAAGCAAAGTCCAGATGTTCTAACATTTCCACAGGCTCTGAAGAGCAAAGTGCACCACGTGAACAAGCAATGGAGCGTCAGTTGTTTGGTTTTGCCCTGGCGATCCCTGTCACCTCTTCCTAGTTCTGTGCAAACCCAGCGCTGCAGAAGGGCACAACAAGCAGCCCTGCTTTAAAAAAGGGGATGGGAGGGAGGGAATCAAAAGATGGTCCAGCCTTGGGCTTCCCACTTTACTTCTTTGTGCAGCTCATTGCAGGCACGCAGCGTCTCCTCCACGGGGGTCCCATGGTCAGGAGCATGGAGGTAGAAGAGCTCCACACTCTTCCTCTTCAGCCTCTCCAGAGATGTGTCCAGCTGCGATCGCACGCTCTCGGGCTTCAACGTTTTCCCATCCCAGGGGTTGGCCTTGGTGGCAACTTCCACTGGCAGAGAGACAGAAGAAATGAGCAGGGACACATCCATCTTCATGAAGGGAATGGGTATAGAGAGACTAATGCCAGCATTGCTCGAGGTGTTTCAGGGAAGGCCCTTCTCCTCAGCAACCATGTCTGCCTAGCAGGGGAAGCCCTTCTCCTTCAGGACCACAGGTCTGCCCTAGAGAGGGAGGCTACTGTCCCCAGGGCCCTGGGGTCAGCACTAGCAGGGGAGTCCCTCCTCAGGGATGGCATCAGCCTGGCAGGGAAGACCCTTCTCCTCAGAGAACGGGCCTAGGGGAAGCCCATCTCCTCAGGGGCAGTGTCAGCCTCGTAGGGAAAACCCTTCTCCTCAGGGCATGGGCCAGCATAGAAGCCCTTCTCCTCAGGGAACAGACCTGGGGGAAAAGTCCTTCTCCTCAGGGACGTGTCAGCCTGGCAGGGAAGACCCTTTTCCTCAGGGAATGGGCCCAGGGAAAGCCCTTCTCCTCAGGGGCAGTGTCAGCCTGGCAGGGAAGATCTTTCTCCTCAGGGAATGGGCCCAGGAAAAACCCTTTTCTTCAGGGATGGTGTCAGCCTGGCAGGGACAACCCTTCTCCTCAGCAACAGTCCCAGGGGAAGTCCTTCTCCTCAGGGACGGTATCAGCCT